AAAATCACATGGATGCTACATTACGGCGATGGGAATGTGACTGAAGCCGAGATAACATGTCAAGTCCAATAACATTGCAGATTCGTCTTTGGATTTTATCAAGACTCTCTTAATTTATAGCAGGAACACGTATGTAGAAACGGAAATGTAGAAATGTGTTGGATAATTCTCCTACTCACTCAAAGTAGTTTCCTTTCTCTCCCATTATATCAGTCAGTGTAGGCTTTAAGAAAGCTTTATTCGATTGAGGATACAAGTTTCGCGTATAGTGTCCTTTTATAGTCCCAGTAAACAGAAATAGCTCTCTCAAAGAGGAGAGTGACAAAAAAGGGGGAGACCACTCTTGATTATTCATAACGCCCATGTAAAAATTTTATTCGTTTCTTACGTTTGCTCGAGGCATTATGAGTGACTTTTTTTCCATTTTATACTCTTTTTGGAACTTTGGTTTTTTTTTTCAGTCATAATTTATTTATAATAAAAAATCTATTTTAATCGTGTTCCAATTTTCCCTCGTCATTCGCTATTTACTAATGTGTCTTTGATTGTTTACTGTTGCCCTTTTGAGAAAATTTTGTCCGAAAGCGTCCACTCAATGTAAAATAATGACGTCCATTCTTTTATATATATATATATATATATATATATATATATATATATATATATATATATATATATATCCGAACAAATATTTCATTTTTTTGTCAGCGACGTAAAACGTTAATCGAAGTTTTAAAATGTTTGCATATATTTCCTAATTGATTACTTTCGACGTATTGATCTTTCAATCGAGATGTTAATTTGCTTAGCTGTCATTTTGTTTTTATTTGTGTATTTAATGAAAACACTCTGCTATGATAGCTAATGCTGAAGTCGCCTTTCATACAGCATATATTAAAAATAACAAAATCATATGTCCTAAACCGTGCAGTAGTCAAGTTCTGCATAATTTGAATGGATTTTCGACGAGTCAAATAATAACGTATTTAAACTTGTATTTCGTTTATATATATATATATATATATATATATATATATATATATAGATAGAGAGAGTTTATATATATATATATATATATATATATATATATATATATATATATATAGTTTTAAATATATATATATATATATATATATATATAAATTAATTGATTTAAAATATGTTTTTTTTTCGCTACAGTTCGAACCACGTTTCAAAAATGGAAGCTAAAAGCCCCGAATTTAATTTTGTAATTAAATTAAAGACATTAGTTCCATTTCATCCTCAAGCGAATTTTGGAGTAAGTTTTAAAATTGCTGGGATTTAAATACACAGCTAAAACAAAATTCATGTTTCCAAGTTTACAGATAAATCTATTTTGCTAGACCAGGTGTGTCTGGGTGTTCAATATGTCTATATTTTAATGTATCAGATATTGCTAAGTTTTGGTAGTGGGTAGGGATGTATTTTTCAATGAAATCTAGCATCCGTTAAAAGCGTGTCGTCAGGATTTTTAAAAATTTATTGTTAACGGCTCAAATTCTTACGGCATTTTTTCTCGTATATTTATAGATTTTAGGGGGTGTTTAGGTAACAATACTTTTTATTTAATTTGAAATATTTTTACTTTTAATTTTTAATATACTATATTTCTTTCAAGAACAATTAAATGTAATTAGAATCCCTTACAGTTTGTAGAATTATTATCACATCAAGTATATTACGAATTTTTAAAAATTTTATATTTAAATTCCTTTTACATATATATATATATATATATATATATATATATATATATATATAGTTTTTTCTAGCTTTCTTAAGGCAGTACAAAACTTACTCCCTTACTCCCACTAAACGGGAAAAAACGTAAGAATGCTGGAAAATCTAAATAAAAAATTATTAATTTTCCTATTCTGCCATAATTATCGAAATAATTTTAAAAGAAAGTTTGCTGCATATATATATATATATATATATATATATATATATATATATATATATATATATATACTAGTTAATGCAACCTTTCTCTCGAATATCTTTCATTGAAGACGCCTGAGATTTTTCTAGCATCTAGCATATATATATATATATATATATATATATATATATATATATATATATATCCATCCTCAGACAGACTGTTTCCGGTATCACTGGTTTTCAGTGTGTCTAGACGACCAATTGCTTCAAACCAGGATCGACACACGACCGATTTAGGATTTCAGAGATCCTACCCCTAAGCCGTCGGCGTACGGCAGAGAAAAAGGGACATTTTATAGTTTTCTATACGAAATACACACACACACGCACACACACATATATATATATATATATATAATTTTGAATGTTATATTTAGTGGATGCCAATAATTACGTAGACGTTCCGTTTATTTTAAACAGTATTTTATTTTCGTCCACCTGTCTGAATATTCGAAAAATCTTAATAAAAAATGCCCCCAAGCAGGTTTCAAACCTGCGTCTTCTTATAGTAATGGTGATATTACCAGTTTCCTTA